ATACAACTATAGTAGCGGGATAATATTACATTAACATTATTTATTTCACACAAACTAGTGCCTTGTCCAAAGGCCATTCATCATTCCTCATCGTCATCGACTTCAAACACTGACATGCAGCAGGGACCAAAACAAGCCTGCGCATGCGACTCACCTGCAACAAGGGTTAACAAACCCTGAGTACAAAAGTACTCAACAAGACTGACCCGATGAAAAAGGGGTGAAGGTTTTAGGGATGCAGGTATTGGGTCAAGGTAAGGGTGTAGCAAGATTCAAAAATTCTTTGCCAAAAGCTTACTATTCTTGATTCTATTTTCAAGTTTTTACCCCTAAGTACTTTAGTTCATTATCTCCAACTAAGTGTTCATATCCCATGTTCCAATCCTTCTCATTCCATTCTTTTTCTCATGTTTTAGTAATTCACCAGTCCTGCATTGCTTCTGTAATGAATCGAGTCTCCATATCCGCGGAGCACCGGCAATTCGAATTGATTCAAGTCCCAGCTGGGGATTCCTTATCACACGACATATGTAGAACTTAATCTTGCATATATCAACCTCGCTACCGGATCCTCCTATACTAAGTCGTCTCCACGCCACCCGAGAGCACAGCATGCCTCAAATCCAGCCACATTCAAGCCACGAGGGTACACGCTACTCCTGCCATCTCACCACTCCTAGTGCGTGGGCATTCGTCTTAGTATCGGATTAGTCGAAGTAGGCTTACCGGAGTATGTGACCAGTACTACAAAGTGTCTCATTCAGAAGATTCACAATGAGTGGCCTTTAAGCGACATAGTCGGCAACATTACCCAATATTCAAGATAAGCCACCCGACTAGTCTCTAGTTCATTCTATCTTTTTTCTTTCTTTCTTTCTTTGGCCAGTATGCCATCTTTTATTGTATCAAAACTTTTACTTCGAAAGCCTACCACAAAGCATACTAAGCAATTCTACGCCTTTGTAAATGAAATCATCTTCAAGGATGGTAAACAATTAACAAGGTAGGCAATGCATCAAATAGGTAACATTTGAATTAATCAACTTAATGCAATAAGTAACATAAGTGATAAAATTTTTCAAAGTAAACAAGGTAATGGTTTAATGTATAAACTGGGGCTTGCCTTCGTTGACGATCTCGGTTTTCGGATCAGTACCACAATTATCGAATCCCGTGACAACCGGGGATTCTTCCACAACTTGCTCAACTAGAATCGTTTCACTCTCGGATTCTACATGAAATAATAACATATGCTTCAACATGATGATAATGTAAACATGATGCTTTCATGGTGCATGAAATATAATAACACCTTGAATACAACTTTCCTCCACGACACAATTGTAGATCAAAACCAATTGACACTAACATCTAGGGTTTATGACCTAAGTGACTTGACCAAATTGATCTTGAAACCCTACTGGTCACAAAACATGACCCAAACAAGATCAAACCCTAACCCTAACACTTAGGGTTTGCTTTTATTCATTTTTGAATTAATTTGGAAATAAGCCCAAAAATAAACTTGTTCCAAATGACATCAAAATTTTATGTAAGCTTCCTCATGACAAATTAGTGTACCAAAATAAATTTCATAATTTTTGGAGTTATACAGGGGCCTACAAAAATTATGGAAATTGCATTTATCAATTAATTGACTGAATTTTTGAACATTAAAAATTTATTCAAATTTCAAGTTTCATGTTTTTCCTAAATAATATTTGTCACAGAGAGGTCACACAAAAATTTTCATAATTTTTGGAGCTCTAAACAAATCTACACAAAAATAACAAAAACAGACACTATTCATCCATTTATGAAAATAGAAAAATTCCATTTGAACTATACAGTCGCTGACATACAGGACCCACTCGTCATCCCTAAGCTCCGGCTTTGACCGCGGCAACAACGGCGCTGACCGACATGAACTCGCCGCCGGTGTGCTCAACGGCGACGGCCAAAGTACCAAAACGCTCGCAAAGACTAGGCGCATCGATCTGTGGCACTACGGAGGTTGATTACGACACGGAACAAGGCTAACACCGGCCATGGCGGACGCGGTGGCACGGCATCGCTACGCCGGCGAAACAAGGACAGTAGAGATCAAACAAAAGGCTTAGAAAGGATCAGCAGCTCACCCCGAACGTGTTGAAGCAAAGAACAAGACCGGAAGAGCTACGGTGACGCGGGTCGATGATGACAGCAGTCATGGCGGAGCAAACTTCGTCGGCGACGGAGTTCTGGTCACTGCAGTGAGCAAAACGACCAAGCAAGAATGGATTAAGCATCATAGCGTCGAGATGAAGCTGTAGAGACAACAAGCATGGACAACGGCTCACCGGATGAAGCTGGCCGCGGTGAAACGGAGCTTCGGGTAAGGTTGCCGGCCGCGAGGAAGAAGGCTCGCTAGCGATAGTTCTCGGTGGACTCAAGTGGTAGAACCAGATCGGTTGGAGGCGCAAGGAGCAGGCGAAACTGAGACACTGCTTTTCCAGGGCTATCTTGCGCTGAGGAGGCGAGGAGAGCTCACCGGAGCTGAGGCGGCTGCGTCGGGAAACAGAGGAGAGAAACCAAAGTCGACGACGGCGTCGGAGCTTTATAGCGCGGCCAAGAGTGCGAGGGAACGACACGTAGTGAGCTGCTCATGCCAGCGCGAAGCTAAGGGCAGCCACGGGCGCGCCTGGAAGGCCGGAGAAAGGACGCCGGCGGTGGGGCGATGACCATGTACTGTTCACCCACAATTACAGAATTGCCACTGAGATCATTTTACAAATTACTCCCAAATTTTCTAAAGAAGTTGAAAATCTCCAAAAATGAAAGTTGCTCAACTTTTCAAACTCTACAACTTTGTTTCAAGGAATATTTTCAAATTCTGCCTCCATTTTGAAATTTGAATTTAGGGTGCATTTGAGCATTTGAATCATTTCAAAATTACTTCAAATTTTATATGTAAACTTTAAAAACTTTGTATACCAAAGTTGATCCTTATAAAATAAGCTTCAACTTTTCTTTTTATCACAACCCCAAATTCCAAATGGATTTTGAAATATACAAAAGGGGCAAAAAGGACTTTTATAATTTGAAGTTGAATTCAAATTTAATTTGTTTTCCTTTTGACTTAACTTTGATTTTTGACCAGTAACATGGCCCATTAGGGTTATTTGAGTCAATTAACACATGGTCTCACATGATCACATGAATTTTGACCCTTGTAGTCATGATTTTCATTCAGAGTTTTGAATCACATTGTATCACATAAAATAACAACTTATGAAATAAAGCTTATTTAGTGAATGCATTCAAATTTTTCTACTTTATGAATGCTTTGCAATGCATATGATGACATGTCAAATTTTAATGATAGGTCAAAACACCAGAGGTGTTACACCAGCCTAGCGGGCGTGTCTGCTGACACGGACAAGGACGACGGACGCCGCTCGCGTCTGCCGGCACTCTATACTATAAAGGAGCGAAAGAATTGTAAAATACCTGTCACCTAAAAGTCCCCTACCCACCTAGAATCTCAATCCTTGGATCTATTTAGATTTTCCATCCAACGCTTCATACAAAACTGACAGCGGACCCAAAACGAAGAAGGGCGATACTTATGTGACGAAACACATTTTCCCTTTCACCGATCTCTTCCCCCTACGTTTTTTTCATACGCGAGGAATAACATACCCGCCCGTCTACCCACATCGCCCGTCACCCCTTCAACCGTCGTATCCCCACCCCACCCGTCCCCTCCCTCCCCCTCCGACGCCTCGCTCTCCTGGGTTTTCTTTTCATCGGTGATTCTACCCGCTCGCTCGTACCCAAGCAGCCCTCTTCGACTACGTCTGCACGGCTTCCTGCACGGACGCGATAACCACCGCACTTCCTGGCTGTGTCATGTATCCACACTCCCTGCCCGCGAGAACCGCCGTGCGGCCGGACGCGCCTACCGGCACGGACGAGGACAACGGACGCCGCTCACGTCTGCCGGCATGGACGAGGACGACGAACGCCGCTCCTGGTGCACAGGTAGATGGTTGCCGCCGCCGCCTCTTCTTCCCCAACCCCCCACTTTTCTACTCCACCCCCGACGAGGCTCCGTGCCTCCGTCCGCGCCGTGACGGTGATCCCTGTGGTGCCGCCTCGCTGTGTCCACGCCCTCACACCTTCTATCGGCATGGCTTTGATGGCTGCAGGCATCTCAAGGGCCCTAGGAGTAGGCCGAAGGTGGGGTAGGACGTAGGATTGAGGACGACAACCCATAACTCCATCGGTATGCCTCTCACACATCTCGACCTCCTCCTCAGCCATGTCGTATTGATTGTTTTGAGTCTGTAGAACATCTAAATTTACTGGCATCTCTGATTGCTTGTTCGCTTTTTGGCTATGAATAATCAAAAGCATTGTGTTGCTCGTCAGTATTCAGGTGATTGCCACACCGACTGCTAGGATGGACAAACAGTGGTTTTCAGTATTGTAGAAATTGCAGCTTAATAGCCATTACAATTGATGGCCTTGTTTGGTTTCTGCTTAGGTATTGCTGATCTACCGGCCGGTACTTCCACTACAGCCCTTCTTATGAGAACTAGCTTTCCACATGCAATATGGGTGTTTTTTTTGTTATTAAACATCATATTCAATATCGACCATAGGAAAATAGTGCTCGAATCTAGGGGTTTAGGATTTGAGATGATTTACTCCAATATGGGGGTTTCCTTTTTAAGAGATTTTCTTATTATAAAAATCACATTCAAAGATTGTACTGGTTTTGCTAATATGTGAGAAATATAGCAAGGGAACATTTAGATTAACTTTCCAATTTCAAGTGTTGATAAACTGACAGAAATATGCTCTAATTTAATGATTAATGATAACTAAATGTCTTCTCTTGACTAGCATGTTTGGTTTAACACTGCTACTACACATTCCTGAGCTTGTTAATATATACCTATGCAATGGACCTGCGGCCCTTATATTCAAGTTGATACAATACAGGTACAAAAGCGATGGAGTCATCTCAAACAAATGTTGGCGAGCTAAGTTCTCAACGAAAAAAACAACAACGTAGAGAGAGGTATGCTGCATTGTCTCCTAATAAGATGGAGGAATCCCGGGCCAAAAAACATGAGTATCAACGTAGTCGTCTAACTCATTTGAAGGACGAGGCTGGTGCATCAAAATTAGAGCAAGCTCGGGCAAAAAATCGTGAGTACCAACGTAGTCATCTGGCTCGTCTCAAAGCTGAGGCTGATGCATCAAAATTGGAGCAAGCCCGGACCAAAAATCGTGAGGATCAACGTAGATGTCGGGCTCGTCTAAAGGCCGAGGCTATTTCATCCAAATTGGATGCATCATCTGAAAGCACACCTATCCATGATTTAAACTTGGAAATAGATGAAGTTGATACTAGAATTGACGATGAAGGCAACTCTTGTAAGAGGAACAATAAAGACAACTCTTGTAAGAGGAAACGGGACATGGCTTCACAAGTTGATAATATAGGTATTTTGCTTAGGTTTCTCCTATCCACTTTTGGCTTCTGCTCTTTGAATTGTTGGCATTGTATATTTTAGCAAGAATAGTAGTTTTAATTTTTTTTTTAGTCTTTTAGATCAAGGCACTCATGAAGATCAAGACACTCTTGAAAATCGCATGGCCAGGGAGAGGTATAGGCATGCAATATCTGGTGATAAAAAGGATGAGATCCTTGCTAAAAAACGTGAATATCAACATAACTATCGCGCTAAATTGAGTGCTGTCGCGAAGTCCAAGAAATTCTTAGCATCAGCGGTAAATATGTCAGGTATGATAGTAATATATTTTCATTAATAGATTGAATACATTTTATTAAATTTAATTTAATTACTATTACTATATATATGTAGTGTCAAATATGTCAGGTATGATAGTAATGTTATTTCTTAATCCTATTTGTTTTAGGTGTTGGGAAACGTGTATATCAACGTAATTACCGTGCTCATAAAAGAGTTGATCAAGAAGCTTTCAACTCTGGCATTTGGGAGCCAGAAGACACATTGCATGGAATAGAAGGTATGAAAAGTTTAAACTGTGTAATTGCAAATCACAAAAAGACATTGTATGTGCAATGAGTAACAGTTTAATACTTTTCAATAGAAAATGGCTTAGATCAACAGAACCCATATGAAGATGGCCCTGACATCTACGAAGATGATGAAGCTAGAATGTTTAACGTTAAAGGTGAGCTCTCTCATGCAAGCTTAAAAAATCTTATTTGAAAATGCAGATTTCCAATACGAGTTTTCTATAGAACCTGCAACAAGAATAAATGATCATGATCCTTGTAACTTTGTGTATGTGGGACTTCCTGAGACCCATCATGTGTTGAAGGAACTGCAGAACTGTTTCTATTGTCGTGCAAAGAGGTTTGAAGGTGAAGGTCATGTATTTTGTTGTCAGAACGGACGGGTTAATATATTTATACAAGAGGTCCTAGATGAGCTCCGTCGATTGTTCACAAGTCAAACCGATAGGGATGCAAAGTATTTCAGAAGGAACATTCGTTACTTCAATTCACACTTTTCTTTCACCAGCATGGGGGTTTCCATTAATCATAGTTTGGCAACAGCAAAGGGTACTAGTATATGTACATTTAAAGCTCATGGCCAAATATATCACAGGTTGGATCAACTTATGCCTGGTGCTAAGGGACCACACCACATGCAGTTGTACTTCTATGACACAAATGAGACTATGCATCATAGGATGAAAAGATCACCACACCTTGATGCTAATGTGATCCACACTATTTTGAACATAATGCAACACAATACATATGTTTAAGCATTTAAGAGTCTTTAGCAATCTTACCAACTTGGATTGCTACGCTATTGCACTAAATGCAAGTATTTCTGTTGATCAGAGAAGATATAATGCCCCTGCAATGGAGCAAGTGGCTGCAATATGGTTTGATGGAAATGATCCACAACAAAGGTTTGAGTGAAGCATAGTCATTTATGGTAAAGAAAATCAACCTCATTATATAAGACCGTATCGTGGATGTTATGATCCATTAGCATATCCTATACTCAATCCTAATGGTGAAACTGGTTGGGAGTATAAGAAGATTTTATATCAAGACTCACCTCCATCAAAACCAAAGAGAAAATATACAAAACGTGTGCTACAAGGTTCTTTTATTTGTTATTTGCATAAATAATTTTTTCCTCAAAATCTCATGAACAACCAAGTACAAATTTCTTACTTTTATATTTTATATAGGCCCAACACTTGTTGACATCTATGATGTCTCGGAGATGAATGTACATGAAGAAGAAGGTTATTTTCTTTGCATAATTTTTATATATTTAAAATATTATTATTTCTTCTCAATATGATGATGTTAAGACGTTTCAACCATTCTAAAACTCAAAACAGAATGAAATTTAATATTTTTTGTTGTTATCAACAGAAATTACAGAGTCACGGCGATACGTGAATGCTAGGGAATATCTATGTTTTAGACTATAAATTCATGAGGGAGAATTTAATGTGATGTTTCATGGTGGGAGGCTTTTCCAACAATGGGTCATTGATATGTATGTGAAGGTGGAGTCAATGCGGTTAGATTGGTACTCAAAACCAGCGCATCAAGATCTAATTCGTGATGTTCTATACCAGGTTAGATGTATTTGAGTTTAAAAGTTGATTTTTCTATTTTCTAACCCAATGAAATACTATTAACCTTTTAACACATATTCCTCAGGGCCTTCTAGACACTCTTGCCGCTGGAGAAACCCATGCATCACAAGCTGGTTGTAGAATTGTACTATCAAAAGATTTCCTAGAAAGTGATCATGATGTGCACTCAAGATATATGGATGCCATGGCTCTGATTACACGATATGGAAAGCTAGATTTTTTTGTAACAATGACATCCAATCCATATTGGGATGAGATAGTAGAACATTATTGCCAGGTCAATTGCAGCAGGATCGTCCAGATATAGTGGCAAGGGTTTATAGAGCAAAGCTACGAGACCTACAAGATTTCCTTCTTAAAAAGCATCATTTGGGCAGGGTTGCTGCCTGGGCACATGTCACTGAGTTTCAAAAAAGGGGATTACCACATGAACACTTCCTTTTGGTCATGGAAGACAAGAGCAAAGTACATACTCCCGATGATTATGATAAGTATATATCAGCAGAGCTTCCAGATCAGAAGAAATATCTAGAATTGCATAGACTTGTGTGCAAACATATGATGCATGGGCCATGTGGTGTCCTCAACCGTAAATATCCATGTATGATAGACGGAAATTGTCGCTTTAATTATCCTCGTGACTTTTGTGAAACCACCCAGCAAGGAAAGAACTCATATCCTATTTATAGAAGGAGAGATGATGGATAAAAGGTGAAAATAAGAAGGGAATGGTTGGACAACAGATGGGTTGTGCCATATAATCCGATCCTTTTAATGAGGTATAATTGTCATATTAATATAGAGGTTTGCAGCAGCATAAAGTGTGCCAAGTATCTATACAAGTATGTCTTTAAGGGCCACGATCGTGTTTCCTATTTGATAAATCAGGCTCAGGCAAATATGGATGGGCAACCACTGGTATTAATGAGATTAAGCAGTATAGAGATGGAAGGTGTATAATAGCTATAGAGGCAATCTATAGATTATATGGTTTTCCTTTGTATGATATGTCACCTTCTGTGTTACAAATGCAAGTTCACCTTCTAGGAAAGCATATGGTTGCCTACAAAGCTAGGGATGATCTGAACAATGTTGTGCAAAATCCTAACTCTCAGAGGTCCATGCTTACAGAATATTTCAGCACAAACATGTATAATCATTCTTGCTTTTGAAGTGATTGCTCTTGCTTCTCAATCTCTTCTTCAAGCTCATCATTCTTTTCAACTATCTTCATGATGATGAACTTATCCTTGCGGTTGAGATGATCAAGGTTGTAGTTGTCTTCAACTTCAACATCGCTCTCATCTTGATCATCTACTTGTGCTTTCTCCTTTTCTTGATCTTTCTTGTTACTCTTCTTCTTTCTTTTCTTGGCCATGAGACACAAGTGATGAGTAACATGAGATACTGAGGTTGACTCATCACTTGGTCGCCACCGGGCTTGAGCATCGTTGCAAACCGCTGCTTGCTGCTCTGCTGCTTCGGCCATATCGGACACGTCCGGTAGACATACCGGACATGTCCGGCATGTGTAGGCAGACAGCAAGTCATGTGCTGCTTGCACTTCTTGCTCCGGCTCGGCGCTCTTGAGGTCTTGTGAGGCTTCTTCGCTGCATGAAGACACAATGGACATACTTTCCATTGACTGGATCTCAAGTGCATCATCACATTTGGATTTTCCATATAAATCAAAAAGTCTAGTCCAAATGAGATGAGCACTCTTCGGAGGTGGTTGTCCATTGAAGATCGCCTCATCTTGAACCTCTGCACTCAATGTACTCAAAATAATATTAATAGCTTGAGCATTGAGTTGCACGCATATCTCTTCCTCTTTTGACAAATTTTTGTAGTTGCTCCAATCAACTATAGAAAGAGATATGATTGCATCCACAATATGCTCAACAAGAGGACTAATATCTCTAAAAGCATTGAGTACATGTATTGATCAAGGTAGAAAGTTTGAACCATCATTTTGGAGAAGCACTGGCTCCAACTCGATAGGCGTTGACATCCTTTTCTCACGGCGGTGAAGCTTTAGGTGAGAACCTCGCTCTGATACCATTTGAAAGGACCTAGGATGCCGCCTAGAGGGGGGTGAATAGGCGTTTCTGAAAATTAACACCTTTAAATGCGGAAACAATTAGAAAAGGGAGTTTCCAAAATGGAAACTCTAAATTAAGAGTAATACCACCCCTCACAAGTTAACCATAGAGTAAACAAGGTATAAAGAATATATCCAGAACCTACAACCCTGCAACACAAAGTTAGAACAGAGATCAAATAATATTCAGCCATGAGCTCTAATACCGGACGTGTCCGGTATACACGATTTCTGCAGATCAGCCCCGAACTTGCTCCTCTTGATTTCTATCTTCAAACCAAACTGCAGGCACCTACTAGAGATGACAATATACACAGAGAACATGCACAAGAGCTGGAGCAACACAAATATCAATTGAAATGCGAATTGAGACACGATATTTGTTTTACCGAAGTTCGGACTCGTTCGAGTCCTACTCTTCGTTGAGGGGGCTGCGGGCGACCCAGCGAAGGTCAGCCCTAGAGGGTACCACGAAGGTCACTCTAGCCAGAGTCTTTTCCAACTCCTTTGCCTCCTTCCACTAGTTGATTCCGAGGCGGCGGAATCGACCATTACAAACTTTTCGTGGCACAACCACAATCTCTCGGGTGCTCTCCGGCGACGCCTAACCGTCTAGGACCGAAGAGTCCAAGTGTAACAAATGCGAATCATGATATTGACAATATGCACAAGTGCTCAAGTGGTTGGATTGCTCTCTTTTTGAATTTCACTCAACCCACAATTTGATTTGGCAAATTTGATCAATCACTCACTAAGAGAGTGTTGGGAGAGTTGGCAAGGCTCAAAAATGTGTATGTATATCAGCAGAATCAACAGCCTCCAAAGGTGGAGGCTTGGCGGTATTTATAGCCCCCTTGAAAAACTAGCCGTTTTATAGTCGTTGCCATACCGGTGCATACCGGACACGTCCGGTATGACTTACACTGCCCCAACAGTAACTAAGTTACAGTGACAATGTGAGGCATCGGAAACTCCTGATGAATGCCAGAACTTCCGACCGTCGGAACTCCCGACTCACGTCGGAACTCCCGACCCTTAGCATATTTGAAAACTAAGTAACTGAGTTGAAGTTTGTGAGATGTCAGAACTCCCGACGCATGCCGAAACTTCCGACCGTCGGAACTCCTGACTCACATCGAAACACCCGACCCTCAGCATATTTGAAAACTAGCCATTGGCCTCTGGTCATTCATACCAGACACGTCCGGTATGACCAAGACAGTGAACCCTCTAAGTCAGTTAAGCGCGAAACATCAGAACTCCCGACCTATGCCGAAACTCCCGACCTACGTCGGAACTCCCGACGAACCAACCCGAGAACAACAATAATTTTATCGTGGCTGGGCACATACCGGACACGTCCGATATCAATACCAGACCAGCAAAAACAGATTAGCTCTTTTGTCTCTCAAACACTCAAAACTCACATGGGTTGGCTTGAGCACTTATGAAACATTATCTATCAACATGATGCATCCCTCTTAATAGTACGTCATTCCTATTAACTCAATTTTAAAAGTATAACGAATTTAAACCTTTTGAGTTGATCTTTTTCAATCGAAGCCGTGTATTCCACTCTTCATCAAGTGAGGATGCCAACATGTTGATATTGATCTTTTCACTTGAGCATAGCCATCTTGAGCACGTGACTTGGTTCCATTCATCAAATTTGAATAATCCGAAATGTATCAAGTCACTTCCATCAAACACTCCAATAGTGATTTGATCCTCCACATTGATATGACCATCATAGCTTGATTAGTACCTCAACTAAATGCAAGTACTTCCTTCTTCACCCTAGCTAGATTCTTCGACCGCCAAGCCATCTTTGCCCTTCACCCTTGCTTAGTACCTCGAAGCCTTTCCTTGCTATCTTCACCATCTCAAGCCATCAAGTCATATCTTGTGTTGAATCATCCATTCATTTGTATTGTTATCTTTTTCATTTTAATTTAGCAAGCTTCAAATATGAGACCATTCCATATGCAATCCCTTATGCCTCATTAATTAATTCTTACAAGCTTGCTTTCACATAGTACAT